TCCCCCCCCCCCCCCCCCCCCCCCCCCCCCCGCCCCCCCCCCCCCCCGCCCCCCCCCCCCCCCGCCCCCCCCCCCCCCCCCCCCCCCCCCCCCCCCCATTCCCCTTTCTTATAATGGAAGCTACGAAATCACGTATGGACCGGTTCTTAGTATCATATATTAATCGTAGCACAGATAGGTACCTTGGGTACTTGTATGTATATACACCCCGTTAGGATTCTAGATGAGATGAGACATCAAGAACAAAGGATACTTTTAGTACCCATGCCCACGAAGGTCGGTAGCCACGATCTCCCACGGGTTAGGCTTGGAGTTTCTTGCGGAACGACGAAGTTATTTTTACGCCATCTACGTTTATCTCGTCATATATACTGAGTATTGCTCCGCGAATAATAATTTCTCCCCTGAGCAATGTTGTTCCTTCGTGGAGGGGGGGGGGGGGGGAGTTACCTACTATTCCACGTCTCCTATTTTGGAATCGAAGAAATTTCCGCTTATTCTCTTGGATAACTAACTAATTTACATGCGAATGAATAGAATCTTAGTCGAGTATTAACAGTACTTCATGTACCGTTAGTCAATATCGTGGGTGTCTTTCGTAAGTTTAAGTGTCCTACGATATGGCTCCTTAAACTGATGGAAATCTTACCTATATACATTCGCACAGCGTATAGACCAGTCACCAATATAGAAACTCTTTTTATAACTGTTCGATTTGAGGACAAGGGGATCTTTTTAGTATGTCTTGTTGCTGCTTATATGTATGCTATAAACTTGTATGATACGTCCTATGATGGTTTGTGCTTTGAAAACGTGAATCGTAAGGGTGAATTTATAATTATGTGTGATACCATGGGAATGATATTATATCTATCGAGAGAGAATGTGGCCTTTCATAATTAATATAAGCTTGCTATTTACACTTATACTTATCCTTCTTGATCAATTAAACGTGGCAGTCTCGCATAATGGGAGCTGTAGACTTCAATGCATTTAGTATTAAACAGATATGTTTATACTTGGCCTTTTCTAGTGTGTCCTGCAGTCACAGTTTAGGATCCACTAGGCATTGAGTTACGGATGTGTCTTCGAGATGTAGCTTTGACGGAGACGAGTTTCTACAAGACTGAATACGTGTATATATAACAGACACACCATATCTGGGAGTCATGACTACCGGAGCTAACATCGCGGAGTTGTATCGATCTTAAGATTCGACGTTATAACAGATTACTATTCTCTTCCGGAAGTATTGCCCAGGTAGGCAATGATACACAAGCTCCGGATTTGTCAAGTGTGAAGGAAGACGAGAAAGGGGTTAAACCCTAGATCTATGTATTGGATGCACTCCGCATTCTAGAAGGAGTAAATGCCTATGGCAAACACGCTTAATGCTTACTCTGCATGAACAACATCATTCTCCCTGCAGGTAAAGGAGTCTCATATCTAGATAGATTTCCAGGGGACGACCACCCACGTAGAGGAATGCAGATTCGACAGCCGTGGGGGAGGTGTGGGAGGCATGCCATATTGCCAGCCACTTATGCAACGTGACGTACGTATATACATCCCATTTATGTAAGGTGAATCTTCCGGGCCTGGAAATGGGCAAAGATGGGGGACGCTCAAAGTGGTTGGCTAAGGAACCTGTTTATAGGGGGTCTATATTTGGAATATGTATCTTTCCCTGCGTTGGGATTAACCGGCTCTTGCCTGCATGCTTGATCCAGATATATCTTGATATAATGAGGGGAAATGGGATCACGACTTCTCCTAGATCCTTAAGATCACCGCTCATGATACGGATCGGGAGACACCAACGTTGGCGGCACGAACACTCTCTAGTTTACAGTACGCAAGACCTACTGCATAAGGTAAAAGCGACCCCCGCGAGAAGACTCGAAAATCCCAAGACACAATCCCACGCCCAGCTAAAGCATAAACATGGCTTGGATTCCCTTACGTTAGGGGGGTAAGTTTCTCATGCAGCGAAAACGCCGACCGTTAGGCCCGAAATTCTACGGTCGAAGAGAGTGAATGTGGCGTTGCCGACTGAACGGATCTGCGCCGCACTGAAAAAAGGGTTTGTAGGCATTTTCTCTTACCAACCGCCACGCGGTGTCCAAGCGCACAAGCTTAAAAGACAAGACAAGAAAAAAATCCCCGAAGGAAGTCGGCGATAATCCCTCGCCGGTAGGAAGGACAAAAAAAAAAGTTTCGACAATTATTCCGCTTATTCGGCGTAAAACAACTCGACCCTATTCGTGGACGGACAGACGGGCAGTATGGACGAATGGGAAAAAAAAAAAAAACCATCGAGGACCTACCTAGGTACCGTAAATGCCGACGTCGAAGCTGCGCTCGCCCGCGCGCACACACGCACGTACCAGCACAGGCTCGCTGTCGGGAAGGATCGCGACCCCTGGGTTGAGTTTTCGCTTGCTCGCACACCGGTCGATAAGTGGGAGACGGGACGGCCCGGCCGAGAAAGGAAGGAGAAACGGCGCACGGATTCAGAGGATGGGAAAAGAAGAAAAAAAAAAAAGGAAACCTTTCCTTACCCTCCTCTAAGAGTTCTCTCTCTGGAATCCCGCGGCAGATGTTGGTTAAACCAGCCAGATACATAGACCATGGGACAACCGTAGCGTTTCTGCAGCGCGACTGAAACGGTAGACGCTGCTGTCCCTTTGTAGACGGCGATGTGCCCTACACCGTAAGCATGTACCACGTGCTAATGTGGTAATGCTCGCCTGCTTAGATACCTGTTATATCTACGTGCTCCCGAGCAGCCAGCCCACTCTCGACA